CAAGGCAGACACAATTTAGTTATCATTGGCAAGGAGAAAAATAAAAGGAAAAATCAGGTGACATATCTTTCTATTTTAGTTTTTAGTAAAATAATAGATTGATAAAACAATAAAGGGGATATTGTTTGATATAAGTGAACGTAGACTTCTATCCCATTACTGGTTCTTGGGTCCTTTAGTATTTTAGTTACAGACTTAGGATGCTACTGCCTCAAATTACAACTTTTAACCAATTTTTTCTCGACATATCCTGCATAGTACTATTACAGCCCATTATTACAAACAATATAGTAAAATCCAGTTTCCCAGTTAGCATATTTCCATGCCATTTTACTCTATGATAAAAAGAGTTTGTTTTTAATTTTTAGTATAAATGTTACAATTTTATTGAGCATTTAAGATTTGCGAAATTGAGTAATCAATTCTATAGCTACCCACCCCCACCCCCCACCCCCCCAAAAAAAATCATAATCTTGATCTCAAATCCAATGGTCCAAGAATAACCATCCTATTGAGCATGATCAGGCCGAATAGAAAAAATCACTAAACGGAAAAAAATAATAATAAAGAAAAAAAGGCAAAATCAGGTGTGGTTTTATCTAAGAACTCAAGCGTAGCTATAGGACCAGGCCAATAAAACCATAAATAGATACAATGATATTTAGGTTGCCAGAAATATTCGCAGGAAAACTAAGAAATACAGAGAAATAAAACCACTTTCATTATTTTTCTGAGTGCTGAGTATAGTTTGCAAACTCGCGATCCTGAATCGCAGGATCGGACGATCTAACGATCCCAGGTACCTAAGCAATGGGATCGGTGTGGGATCGGTCAGTATCGATTAGAATCGTACATGATCGGTCTGAATTTACTATTCATCAATTACAAAAAATTAATTGAGCTTATTGAGATTTTTCTTTTCTCTTATGTCTTTTGGTTCATATTCAATTGAGGCTAATATTATTTGAGGAAACTTTTATTGCTAAGAAAAATATACTTTAAAAAGTTTTTCTAATAAAATGAAAAGAAGAATTATAAGAGAAGAGTTTTAATTAAAAAAATTATTTAAAAATTTATATAAGAAAATTGAATTTACACATTTCTTTTAGTAAATACTTTACATAAAGATAATTGAAATCTAATTATCTAATTAATTAATTATTATAACATGTATAATTAGTTTTACGATCCTATTATTTTCATTCTACCAATTCTATTTACGATCCGATTCTATGACCATATTTCAATCCTTATTTTCATTCTACCTATTCCACCTACGATCCGATTCTATGACCATATTTCAATCTTACGTAGGATCACGATCTTACAAATATTGGTGCTGAGAAGGTGTGAAGAAATGGGAAATGAGACCTAAATGTCTCTTGATACAAATTATTGAAAGACTAAGAAGTTTCGGAGAACATGAAGTGTCTGGAGTTTCATCAGCAACATGCTTCGATTTGAAGATGAAAATTGCAAATAAACCTCTCAAAAGAGAGATCGAACTTGACCGTCCAAATAGATTGACATCGTCATATTGCTTTTCGGCCTTAGGTCTTTCATAATGTAATCAATCAAACCTCACTTCTCGCCCTTGGATGGGTTTGGAATAGGATATATCCTTTCTTCTTCGCGCCCTTATTGGATGTGCCAGTGCCACAACTCCCTTTGCAGCGGTCAATTACTTCTGAAGACAATGTGATGAAATACGTGATACTCCCATTTATTTCTCTTAGCCTAAAACATACATATACAGATTGTATCCGTGGAACTACAGTAAAGATGAACTTGTAGCACCCATAATATATACTAGATGTTTGGCCTAGGCAGATGTCCGGGTGCCTCTTTTAAATTATTATTTTATTAAAATCTAATTGAATTATTATTTTTTGAAAAATTAATTTGGCGTATATATCATTTATGCTATGGGTGGGGCTTAAAAAATATACATATAAATATGAAGTTATAAGGGAATAATAAATAATTAGTTTATAAGGCATTATTCTTAATTGCTGGATTTAGGTATTTTTATTTTTTTGTTTATTTTAAGCCTGCAAAACTATACGATTGGACATTTGAATTTGAATTAATATATCCATTTGTTTGAAATGTAACTGATCCTTATTTGTAGTAAAACATGTGTGTTTTTTTTTTAAAAAAAAATTATATAGCTTCTAATTAAAAAAGACTTACACGTGGCAAAAAGACTCATGAAATCTGAAATATGGTGCATTGGAGCCAAAACAGATGCATACGTAGTTGCCATATAAGTTTCATGTTTTCTGCTTTAATAGGGTAAAAGGGATATAACTCACGAAGTTTATGTATTGCTATGATACTTGTTAGAATAATCTGGTGGTTAAGATAATAGCAAAGGAATCTTACCAAATTTATCTTGATTAGTTTTAAATTTGAATCAAATAGTACATTTCAGTTACGAGAAAAAGGAGGATTTAAATTCATGCTGGATAGGAGTAAGATTTGCTCTCAGCTAATATCCCTTTTGAAATTTTAAAGAAAAATAAAAATTATCTTGTCACATATAATTTTTTTTTGATATATGTTTTACTGTAAAGCGTAATATGATAAAGTTAAATATATTTATGGTGTACTGAAATTTTGACAAGTGTTTCAGAGGTTTTTTTGGATTGAGCTAGAAGTCTCAAGTCATCCCAAAATTCTCCTCTCTTAATACTAGTGATGTCTGCGCAATGCGCGACCCTGGCCCAATCTATCTGTAGATCTTAGAAATGTTTATATTTGAAAAAAAATAAAATTTTCTATTTGGAGCGATATATTTTAGAAATATTTGAACGATTTAGAAATGTTTTATACGTGTGATCATAGAAATATTTGTATTTCGCAAAAAAAAAAAAAAAAATTGTATTTCGCCATGTATGTTTTAGAAATATTTTATAAGTGTTACTTATTAAATATAAATAACCTTAATCGAATATATGTGTTGAAGTAAATGTTAGATAAAATATAAAAGCATCTTAATAAATTTAAATATTAGTAAGATGATTTATTGATGTTCTCCATTGGTCGTGCCAAATCAATACTTAGTTTTGGAGATTTTTAATAGCTTTGTAATAAGCTTCATCCGAAGGGTATACGCTTAAAACAAAATTGACACTTTGTAACAAAAATCTAATTGATCAATTCAATTTAAAAAACCACTCTATTTGAATGAAACATAAAGAAAAAATTTATAAAAAAAAATATGTCACGTAAAGTGCAAAGGGAGATTTAGTAATTTTGTTATGGTTAGACAAAAGGGCAATTTAGTACTTTCTACAGGTCACGTGGTAATCATATGAGGTGTTTGAAAGGGAGGTTTTTGTTTCTAATATAGTAGGATATTAAGATTCCTATATATGTCATTTCTCAAGACACTCATCAGATCTTGGCATGTGACGTGTTTCTTATCCATTAGTTTAAACTCAAAATTGTTAGTAAGTGTAATTGAGTGATCGAACAACAAAGCATCTAACTTCCATTATTTTCTTGCGTGTACGTTTGGCCTATCTAAGGTCGAAGTTATTGTCTTCTCTTTTGTTAGAATGCTTTGAGATTAAGGGAACCAAATGATTAGTTATTTTTAGTGGACAATGATTGATGTGTGTAGAAGAAAAATTGAAACATAGCCTCTTAAATAATATTCTTACATTGTTGTTTGAATGCATCGATATATAATTTTGTAACATATCTTTATCAAATTACGAATCAATATTTCGAACAGATGACTGAATTTTTACTAAATTTTTTTACTAACTTTTAAATTTATAGAAACTATGTTTTAACCGGTTTCCAGCAAGCTTTTCTAAAAAACCTTTTCGAAGAAGAAGTTTCCAAGTAAAATTAATCAAAGGTTGTAATTAACACTTCACATTAAGTTCAAATACATTCGTTTTATTCGTGCGACTTTTGTTTAAACGCAGATGGAAGATTTCCAGTAAAAGTGAATAAAATAAAAACCTTTTCCTTAAAAAAAAAAATACATACGTTTAAGAATTTCATAACCGGAAAAAAGAAAAACTTTCCACAGTAATAAAATAAAATACTCTCCCGGTTCCACAAAAATAGTCCAGTTTCATAAAAAAGTTTGTCCAAAAAAAAGTCTAGTTTCATACAAAAGTAATTGAATTAAAATTACTTATATATCCAAAAGAGTAGTGGTAAGGAAACAAGTTCGTCCACTTCCTTTGATTTTTATTTTTTTTTATTTTTCTCTCATTTTTTCTAATGATTATATCTTTTAATACATGAATAATTAAAAAATATATTATATATCAAATTAATCTACGTAACGAAATCTTTCTATCAAAATCTATAGTCAATATTTTTTTAGATAAAAATTTTGATCAAATTTAAGTTGTAAAATAAATCCATATGTAGTTAACTTTTATAGAAATAACTAGAAGCGGCATTAGTGAAAGTTAGGGGCACAAAATGAGTTGTATATTTGGTGTGTTGACCAAATTAAAAAGGTTGTACATTTTCAAACTGGACTATTTTTCTGGGACGGAGGGAGTAATAAACAAATAAATTGGTGCTTGGATAAGAATGTTTTGAAAGTATTTTTCGTTAAAAAATATAATTAAAGAAACTAGTTCGATTATAAATTATCATATAACCAACTTTTTTCCCTTTGATTATACATTTATAAATTATCATATAATTCCACTCCCCCGGCCGGCAGTTGACCAAAACGAATTCGGTAATGTGGTATCAGTCCATTCATTAAGTTGATTCAATTTTATTTCAAAACTTTTGATATAGTTAAAAACGTTAAGCATAGTGCAAAATGATAGGTATAATTGAGTATCCCCGAGCGGATCCTTTCCCTTTCAACCTTTGTTTCTTTCAAATCGAATTGGTGTTAGCAATTTCGATAATCAGGAAGAAGAAGCAGGATTTTGAAGATTATAAAGAAAATAATCCCAACAAGAAGGAATCCCTTGGTAAAAAGATCCCAACGAAAGGGTATTGAAACATTCCGCCAGTGCTTAGGTGAAATCGAATGAGAATCAATGTTCAATCGTTATGATTGAATTCATCAATAACACAACACAAGAGCCATGGACGACCAATTTAACAAATACAAAAATTAAAATAAAAAACCAACTAGATTAACTAAATTTGGAATTTTTTCTTAATTCTATCATTTTTGAAAATCACCAATATGATAAGACAAGACAACTTCTGAAGATCTTACAAAAAAACACAATTGTATGTACATCTCCAAACCCTAGTTCTCACAAAGTAAAAATTTAAAAAAGAAACCTGATCAATTGACATCATTTTGACTCCTCTAGCTAGCTAGTATAGTTTTAATAAAACCACCCACTCTACCTAGAAGACCCTGAACTAGGTTTTTCTTACACCGGATCTTTCAAATCACACTTGGAGAAATCCACTCCTTTGAATGACACATTGAAGCCTTTTGAGTTTGCCCTCCGCAGCATTTTCTTAACCGTAACAGTCTCATCATCACACGATGAATTGGGCGTACGAGCTCCCGATTCAGGCCTTGATGAACAATATTTGGAAGATGGAGACTTCAGTATGCCTTTCAAAGGTGGTTTTGATTGTTGTGTAGCACCACAAACCACTTTGCTGCATGGAGAGTTATTCTCATCTGGACAAACATTATCATTTTTGTGTTTCAAATAGTTCATCAAAGCATCATCGAAAAAGCCCTTCAATCGTCTCGCGCGAAAGCGATCATCATCATCATCCGCATCGATTTCCTCATCATCGTCATCGCCGTAAGGGATATGAACAGATTTTCCATGAAAGGGATCATCCTCCTCGAAACTATGATCATCAACAACATTATCATCATCATCATCATTATCATAAACAAGTCCCTTTCCCGAAAAACCGTCAATAACGGTGGTTTCTTCTACAGGAACATCATGAGGGACTTTTTCCGCATGATGATGATGTACCTTCTTCTTGTTCTTGGGAAATTTGAACCAACCTTCCGTGAAAAGCGGAAGCTGGTTCAAATTCTTGAGAAACGATGATGTGCTTCGCTTCTGCGAGTCGTCGCCGTCGCTGCCGCCTACTAATTTCCTCCGGTCACATTTGCCTAACAATACCATGCCAATGGCGGTGGTAATGAAAAGCTGACAAATTGCGGATTTGATCTGTTCATGTCTCTCGAAAGACGAAGACTGCGTGAGACCGGTCATCTTCTTAACGCGAAGAATCTTTCGGGCGAGTTCCGACAAGGCGCATTTCTTGTATTTTCCATCATCAAGAATCTTGGCAGCCAAGTAACCGACATCGGCTTTCTCCGTCAACCCTAATTCACTTAGCGGGAAAATATCATTCTTTTCAGGAATCCCGAAACCCACAAACCGAATCCTCGAATCCGCGAAAAAATTGAAGATGGAATCAGGAATCTCATCTCCAGAATTGAATTTAAGAATCACGCAGCCTACGCCGAAACACAAGAACAGCAAGACGTGATTCGGGTCCCGAGGATGGCGCATTACATCGACTCCGACCACGGGCTGACGTGTCCAAGTCTTTCCTTGAGGAAAAAGGAAATCCACGGAGCACAAGGATTCGAAATCTCGAGTTTTGAACGCTATGCCTTCGAGTTTTACCTCGAATTTGTTGGTTCTCAGATAAACAATCCCGGCCATCTTAATTTCTTCTTCTTCTTCTTGAGCTTCTGATCAGCTGCAATCTTCTTGTGGAAAGTCATGAATAATGGAGTTTGATTGAAATCATTTTTTTAGCGTTTACGCATGATTCATTATGTGAATCATCCGGATCAACAAAGAAACCAAAGAAGTAAATAGATTTTTTTTTTTGTTGGCCACGCAGGTTTCAATATTAATTAAACTCTCTCTTCATGTAATCTAATAAGGTTGCAGGTCTTGGGGGGGCTCAAGAGAACTGAGAATTGTAATTTAAAAAAAAAAATTGTTTAACAAAATAAAAAAGGAGTACTAGTGATTCATCGAAAAGGGCAGTTCCTATATCTGAGGTCTATCATTCTGTTTTTCCATGATTTATTTCCACACGTTCATTAAAGGCAATGGGAGGTGGAGATATTTTTAAACCGACAACCAATGAAATTAAGATATTAAAATAAACGGTGGGGAAAAAACAAATCCTTATAAGAGGGAGAAAAATCATGAGAATATATATATATATATATATAGAGGGAGCGGCTAGAGTCCCGTTACGGGACGGTTCCATTTTAGGATAATAATCATAGAATTAATTAGATTAATTAACAATCATTGGATTAAAATGAGGGTGCATTATAAGGACATTGACCTAAATACACTTGATTATAAAAAAGAAACTTGGTAATGGTTTAACCGGTTTATCCCTTTCTTCTTTTTTTTTTTTTTTGGTAAATCTAATCCATGATTTTAGCTTCTGTATTTTTACATTGGGTCTTAGGTCTCACAAATTACGGGGCAATAAACTGTGTAAATGACCACGAAACAACAATATTTTTGACAGTTTTTTTTTTCTTCAAAAAACAAAAACCGTTATTTTGGCATAATGGAATTCACATATATGCAAATGTTTAGTACCAATCGGTTTTCCCGACCATATGGAGTTATGGATGCCTACTCTTCCCTCGAACCGAATTTTGAAGTAGGATATTTTGGAAAATAATAGATTGGTGGGAAACACGGGTTGATTGAAGAAAATAGAAATTTTTGGATGGAGAAATGGATCGTGGTCAAATTTATGAATAAATTTTTAGACAATTTTATCTAAGTAAGTAAATAACCTAGAGCAGCAGGTTATAATTATTTCTTTTTAATTTTTTTTTATAGAAAATTAGTTGTTAGCATGTTACTCATCCGATGAGTATATTGTGTACTCTCAAGTCTGATTGGTTGAAAAAAACGGGATGATTCTGTAAAAGTGAGTAACAGAACTCTAGATTTTCCTATATATATGTGTGTGTGTATATATATATATATATATATATAGTAAAATATTATAGGAAAGATTTCGGCTTTTACACACAATTGACAACTTTCCAAATAATGAGATCGCACTTTTCAATAGTGAAGAGGGGGAATAAATTAACTATAAAGCCTAAAACACAGCTAAATTACAATGTCGAGACTATGGTTTCAGTACTCTATCCAGAGGTTCAAGTGGAACTAATCCTTGGTGCCGTTAGTGATGCAAAGTTGATTGAATTGAAAAAGAGATAAACGTTAAGTTGTTTCTTTAATAATGTTAGGCTAAAAACTACGTTCCAAAAAGTTACAATTCTCATAATATGCTTAAATCATGATAATCCCCTAAGCTTTAATAAAATGATCAATAGGGAAATAGGATTAACTCTGCACTTTTGGTTTTCTTAGTGTAGGAATTATGAAATGTATAAGTGCGTGAAAGTATCATTGCAACTGGTTTTCTCACTGATCAAACTAATTTCCGTTCTGTAGAGATCTGAATAATTTTTATTTGTGGAATTACGTTGAATGGAAGATCTCTGATAATATGCATTTGATCTCTTATGACACTTGGTGGGACACTAGATAAATAATTAACACGTGTTATTATCGTTAATACAATTCAAAAGCTGCTATTTTCTTTACTTTCCTTAGAATTTTGAACATGTGCACTTTCTATTTTTAATCTTCATATTCTTTTATTTGTTCTCTCTCTCTCTCTCTCTCTCTCTCTCTCTCTCTCTCTCTCTCTCTCTCTCTCTCTCTCTCTCTCTCTCTCTCTCTCTGTATATATATATATATATATATATATATATATATATATTCTTTTTAACAATATCATGTTCATTTTTCAAGCACATACTCACTTACCTGGTCAAATATATTCATTATTATAATTAATTTACATCTTTTTGAAAAAATAATTATTTTACTTTGTCTAACATAAGAATACTTAAAATTTAATTTTGATATAAATGTTACATATTCCTATTTGTTAATATCAAATTACATAGTTGTGATCCTGATGCAGGTAGGGTAATTTACTAATTGAGTGAAATTTTACCGAGGGTAAGAGTGATTACGACTGGCCATGATTTTTATAAGTAGGGTTAGCCCAATTTAAAGCCATGTGGAAGGCGTGTTAAGGGTATTGATCCCAATTTACTTATATAAAATTATTGATGACTGACTTAATTATTCTGTAATCTTTCCTATTTGGCTAAAGATTTCCTTAAATTAGTCTATGTCTCTACCCTAGATGTGATATCAAAGTTATGAGTAGACTTGTAACTACTGACTCTTGAATTCAAATGAATTTAATTCAGAAAAATAAGAAGACTGTTAAACAAAGTCTTAAATAAGAATATGATATTCCTGAAAATTTAGAAGAACGTAAATAGATCAAAAATTTCAAAAATTGAATTGAAAACTCTATATCAGTTAGGTACTTTTGAAAAATTAGGTTTGAAACAAGTTGTTAAAACAACTGAAGAATCTATTTCTTTAGATAATGAAGAAATAGAATCAAATTATTACAATCAGATGATATTAATAGATATTGTCAATTGTAAAAATTTATTCATATTGGTTTGGTACAAATTGCTTTTAAACCATTGACTTTAGAAAGACTGCCAGAAAGTTTTATAGCTTGCTTACGAGATGCTAGAAACTTGAATTGGAAACAATCATTAATGGGAATAATTCAATCTAGCTTCGTACATGGCCCGGTTTATTTTAATGTTTATCCAAATCTTTCATTATCTCTAAATGATGTCAATGTACTTGATGCATTGATTTTGAATGTTAAACTCATGGATATAATTATATGATTGGATCAGAATTGATTTTTATATGTTATAGAATTTATTATAAACCATTAATGACTTTAAATCCCAATTGTAAATTAATTGATAAAAATATGAATGAGACAATTTTAATTGAAACTAATTTCAATAAATTAAAAATTACTACTAGAAGGACAATTAAATGGGATGAAATACCTATTTCAGATAAATAGGTTGTAGAAAGAACATGTAATATCCAGTCACAAACAAATACAGAAGTGAGTTCTATTGAACAAACTCCTAAAGGACATGTATATATAAAAATGAGGAATACTCTATTCCTATTAAATAATAATAGATCTCATAGATCTGTATTATCTCGTTCATATAACACTCATTATATTTCACCTCTGATAGAGAATAAAAATTTTGTTCCTTATCGTGTTTCTACTTCCCAGGTCAGTGAACATGATGAGAATAATCATCATGTTGATAAATTGGTAAAAAAAATAAAGAAAATATAGTTAAATGTGTTTACAACACAAAAGACGAAGAAATAACTGAGTCAGAAATAGCATTTTCAATACGACGAAAATAGATTTTAGCCCTGGATCTTTGGCAAGATATCAAGTCAAAGAAGAGTTTAATCTTCCAATATGGGAACCATTTAGAAAGTGGGTTTTCCCAAATTTTTCTTTAGAAATGCAAAAATTTATTTCGGATGAATTTTATAAGTTTTTATCACATCATAATGTTTTAATTCTTTTTGTTTCATGGTTTATATCTACTTATGTTGAACACATATGTGTATTAAAAAGAGATTATAAACTCGTGAATGGAAATATGTTAAAGGCATTATTTCATCCACAACAACCTCTTAAAATAGAAAAGGAAAATAATGTTGTTATGAGTTTTTCTGTTTTTTCAAAATTATTTGAAGATGAGACTGTGGCTATAACAAACAGATAAATAAGTAAATAGAACAAAATAACTATACAAATGTTTATTTAAACATTTTAGGGGAACAGATTATATCTATACAAAGTAGATTAGACAAGTTGATACATTTGGTAGAGAATAACAGAGACACTAGTCTTGCTAGTTGTTCTAGTAATAATAGAATGGATGTTGCTGCAGCACCAACTCTTCAACCACTACCTGAAATAAAATATTTTATATTAAAATCCTTATCAGAATTAGAAAAAACTAATAGATACTAAATTTAACGATTTAAAAATTAATAATTTAGAAGAAGATTCTCAGAAAGATTAGAAGAGGCTAAGAATTATAAAACTATAGTAGATGATGAGATTAATAAATTAAATAAATATGATGATAAGCCTACTCAAAGATTATATTATTATAATAGACCTTTTCCTGCAGATATTCTACATGAAGAACAAGAATACATATTAAATAATAGTTATAGTGAAAAATGTATTATTGAATGGAATATAGATGGTTATACTGAAAAGAAAATTTATAATATGGCTCATAGAATGTTAATGCATAGTACTATTTGTAAAACAAATGGTAATAATGATGTAGGAATTGCAAAAATGATAGGTGCAGGATTTACTTTCCAACTGAAAAGTTGGTGGGACAATTATTTGTCTTTCCAAAATAAGAAAGAATTTTATAAAACAGTTAAACAAGAAGGATCTTAGGTTGTAGAAAATGCAGTTTATACACTGATTGTTACTATATTAAAACATTTTATAGGAGGAATTTCTAATAATAGTGAAAATATTCGTACTTTATTGCAGAACTTAACATGTAAAACACTATCTAATTTTAGATGGTATAGAGATGTTTTTCTTAATAGATATGGAATTACATGATAATAATAGTGTTCATTGAAAATCTAAATTTATAGATGGATTACCTAGTTTATTTGTTGAAAGAGTTAAAAGAGTCTTAAGAAAAGATAGGATAAATATTCCTTATAAAAATTATACTTATGAAAAATTAATAGGAACTTGTATTCAAGAAGGTTTAGCCTTATGTAATGAGATAAAATTAAATCAACAAATTAAAAGACAAAGTTGACTGAAAGAAAATAATTAGGCCAGTTTTACAGTCAATTTAGGATGGAAATTCCATCAGAAAGAATAATGATAAAATATTTTAAAAAAGATGATAATTATTACAAGAAAAAGAAGAGAAAATATTCTCAAGAA